TTTGTCAGCCGGGTGTTAGCAGAAACTGGACGGTGAGTTCAAAGGGACACAACAGGGGAAATCCAATCAGGCCAGCTGAACTTGAAGGTCCTGAGAGTCTGGAATTCATGATGCTGTCCTGAATCGGAAAGAAACTCAAGGCTACTAGAAAAACACAGTTGGCCTCCCTCCCACCCGACAGGAAAGCATTTGGCCCTGCAACTTTGAAGTTCCATCTGGGTTTACAAAATCGTCACAGAGTCTGGAACCCAGCACCGGCAGAGAGTAACAACTTCCTCCCCAATTAAAACGCGTGTGTGCGGCTCAGTAGGCAGGAAGACAGGGAGCATGTGGCTGGTGTCCAGCCCGGAGCTGGGCAGCAGGACGCCACACAGACACTTGGCTCTAGGCCATCGCATCTTCAAGCGCAAGGACAGAACTTTGGTTAATACACTGCCATTCACCCAGGATGTGCTCGTGATGGTTAACGTGTTTTGAGTAGGAGGCAGCACCCCAATTCCCCCAAAGAAGTGTTCAAATGTAACTGGTAGGCCTTTTTATTGCACTAATTTTGGAAAATTTATGAGAATAAAAAAATGAATTTCAAGAATAAAAATTATGAGGACTGGAATTTCTTTTCCCTACATGTTCCCTAAATCAAGCTGCTATATAGGCCTAAATGTAAGGAAGCGCCAAATATAAGGCAATTCCGTATTTTCCTGAGGAGAAAACAATTTTATGCCAATTTGGATAGGGATGTCAAAGAAATAATCAAGTATCTTCTTATAATATTTATTTACATGTATACTTTTTCTAATACTTTGCTGCCCTCTTTCAAAGTTTTTAGTAGAATTCAGTCACTTCAAGACCCAGCACATTAATTTGCTTTGGACTTTTCTTGGACTAAAAGACGTTATTTTTAGTATTCTCAACGCAAAAGAGACAAGTTTTGCATCGAACAAGAAACATGGAGACAGGTCTTTTACAAAGGGTAAAAGAGTTATGTAACTGTCATCATCTATATTTCCTTAAAAATAATGACAGCATAAACTGCAGGATTTTGTTTCAACTTCATGGCTGGCTACACAAGTAACGTGAGGTTTAAAAACCATTTCAAAACCAAAATCAATCAAATAAAACACCCAGATTTTTAATGCATTGAAAGTTCACCTAAGAATCACAAAATCTTAAAAAATTTTCTTATAAAAACCCACTAACACTGTCCTATAAAATCTATTTTGCATTTAATTTATACTGAACATAGAACTTTGGGGGAAAAAAGCAGTTAAAATACTCATCTAGTGTGTTCATTCAAAAAATTCACACAGAAGCTCCAGCAAAACGTCTCACTACACAACTTATCACTATTAGAAGTCATAGCAACAATTACAGGTTTGGGGGACAAATTTTAGGCGCTTTGCCACATGCTCCTGGAGCCTAATGACACAACTCACCTGTCAGGGTAGGTGGCGGTTTCCAGCTCAGGGATGGAGCCATCGTTAGAGGGGTCGTGAAATCAATTTAACAGGCGTGAACTTATTTTGGGGAGGAGAGTGGGGGTAAAGGAACTGTAATAGGATAGAACAGAAAAACACCAGCCTGCTTTAAATGCTGAGGGGTACGCGTGGTAACACTTTTGATACACACGTGTCCTGGGTCGCCCTGTCAAATGTGTTTCTTACTGTGGAACAGAGGAAAAAAGCATCCGAAAAATACTGAGGTAGAATTTTGGAAACTCAGAGAGGCAATAAAATCAGAAGAAAAGCAAAGGCAGAACCCAGGCTTCTCAACTCGGTGTCCTGTGTTTCATTACTCTGGGTGCTCTCCGAAGACGATCCCGGGGTAGGAGGCAGAGAAAGGAACTGGGTGGATGGTTCCTGGGGATTAAGACGCTCACCCGGAACAAGGGCTCGGCACCAAGCGGGTGCTCGGTGCGGAAGCACAGCAGCTCAGGACGAGGTGAGCGGGGAAAGCAGCTCGCCTCGGCCTGAATCTGGCCTCTCCAGTGAGAAAAAAGCTCTGCATCCATCTGCTTCTCTGTCGCCTGCCTGCCTGAACTGCCTGGTCCTCTGCCTCCTCGCGTGTCTGTGTGAGGTCAGAGCTCTAAAACCCGTTCCCTCTGAAGCTAGCGTGCTGGAACTAAAAAATGTCCAAGAAGTCTTTCTAGGGTTGCCCAATCTAACAAATGAAAATATAGTCATCCATTACCTTTGGATTTCAGATAAGTGAGTTTTTAATGTTAAGTATGTCCCATGTAATATTTGGGATGTATCTATATGTATCTATACTAATAAGTCATTTGTCTGAAATTCAAATGTAACTGGGTGCCCTGTACTTGATCTGTAATCCTCCTTGACACCCCTGCCACTAAAAAGATGGCGCCTAGTTCCTCTTTCACCGTGTGTGACTGTACTTAGCGACCCACTTGTAACAAACCAGAGACAGTGTAAGCGATGATGTGGAACCTCTAATACCAGGTCATGAAAAGCACTGTGGCTGCTATCGTGGTCTCTTGCTCTCTGGGAGCCTTTGCTCTGGAGGAAGGGAGGACACTCAAGCAGAGGCTTATGGAGAGGCCCGTGTGGCATGGGACTGAGGCCTCCTGTCCACAGCTGTGGGCGTGAGCTTGGAAGGGGGAGCCTCTGGCCCCAGTCAAGCCTTTAGATGACTGTAGCCTTGGCTGGTGTCTTGATCATACCTTCATGAAAGGCCAGGAGTCAGAACCACCCAGCAAAGCCGCTCCTGAATTCCCGATCCACTGAAGCTGTTAGGTAACTGTTATCTTAAGCCACTATGTTTGCGGGTAATTTGTTACGCAGCAGCAGCAACAACTGCCACACTCACTCACCAGTGTCACTCCAATACTGTCCCCTGTCTGACATCACTTTTTCCTTTTCCTGGACTATTCCTAGCAGCACGCAGTCATGCTGGAATTTCTCCCACTTTAAAGAAACCTCTCTTCTTCTGGTAGTTGGGGGGGAAAATTTCAATTCTTTAACAGTTGGGGAAAAAGAAATTTAGGCATGAGGACGGGGGAACCAGAGAATGATTGGGGCCTGGTGCAGGATTAGAGAAGTCATCGCTCAGTAACGCCCAGGATGGTCGTGCCATAAAACCCAAGCCCATCTTTGGGTGGTGCCTCTCCTACCTGCATCTTGTGGTGGAGACCTGGGAGAAGCACTGCCCCGACCCAGGGCTGGTGAGGAAGATGTTGGAAAAACAGCAAAGTTACGGAGCATGAAACTCGTGTAACATTTTAAAACAGAAGACTTCAAAGAAACATGGGGGTCACAGCAGGTACTCCAGGAGTCTCCATCCTGGAGAGGCAGGGCTGTTCAAGGGATCAGCAGGGGGACAGTGGGGGCTGGAGGATGTATCCTGTGACTGTCTATTCAAGGTTTTCTTGAATGTCTGTCACAGCTTCAGCTTAGGCCCCTCCATTTGCCCCTTCAGGAAGCCCCTGGAACAAAAGCTGAGGGCACCTCGCTCCAGGAAAACCTTGATATTAAAGACTATAAAGATCACGCTGAGTTCAGCAAGGTATGTGCAGAGGGGAGTGGAGGGTGGCTGATGAGCGAGATGCTTTACCGGGCATTCCCGGGTCCCACACTGTGTGAGAGGCTCACTACGGATGAACCCCATTTACTCCTCACCTAAATGAAGTGTCAGGCTCACTGACAGGAGGATATGAGACTCAGAGAGGTTAAATGGTCAGTGGTTACGGAACTGGTGGGCAACAGGGCTGGGATCCCACCCCGGGTCAGGCTGGCCCCACTGCCAGCGTCCCAAGTGTCCAGAGTGGATCCACCCTCCCAGACCTGGGACGCTCCAATGCCCAGACTCAGATGAGCCCTAGGCAGTGAGCCCCCTCCATCAGCGGCCGCCACTGCGCCTGGAATTTCACACGGGGTGCACTGAGTCCCCACACCACAGGGAGGACCCCAAAGAAAGAGGGAAAAAAGGGGTCTGGGAAGGCCAGGTAGAGGTGTGGGAGAGCCTGACCCCCAGGCCTGGAGCACAACCCTCAACCCCTAGGGAAGAACTCCAGCTGGCAGCGTCCTCCTTTAACTTCTCATACTCTCAGCCTGAACAGAGCAGTTGGGAAACAGAGAAGAAAGTCACAAGACAGGCCCATGAACAGATTAGGGGATAAGCTGAGAAAGGAAAGTTCCAGGAAATGAAACAGGTGGGGGGTGGGGCTGGTACCACGACACAGGTTGGGTTGGCTGCCCAGGTAACAAGAGCCTCTTCCTGGTGACAGTGTCTGTACGTACATACACACACACACACACACACACAATTTTTTTCTGGAAACACACTCTGCCTCTCAGACCAGAGGTAGCAATACGACCCACACTGTTGCCTGCTGCGGGGAGCAGGCCAGTCTGCACACAAGCAGAGGCAGAAGGGGGACCTGAAGAGACAAGGAACAACGTAGAAACAGGAGGGAGAAAACAAAGAAGGGAGGACCTGCCTGATCTGGAAGGCCTGCATCCGGCTGCCCGCGGCACTGACAGGGTCTACAGCCCGTTTATGTTAATTCACACATCTGCCTGTTTGCTCACAGCATCTCAAGTTCATCTACCATCCAGTTGTATATGAAGAAATGCACCTCCAAAATCACACCCACACCTACAAAACTAAGAAAACCAAAGTTAATTTTCAAATTAACTTAATGAATGGGTCTCTCTCCAAAAAGCTGTTCAAAAGAAAGCATTTATTTTTATAAATGTTTTTTCCACCAGTATATCTCCAATTGTGCTTAAGAAAGATTAAAAAAAAATCTGCATTTAATCTTGTGAAAAGTTAAAAGAATACCCAGTAGCTTCTACTTCTTGTTTCCGATTGTATTGCCATTAATTTATATTGTCTTGGTATAAAAATAAATTTTTTTTAAATCCCAAACTAACACATAAATAAGCAACACTCCTGCCTGCATATACTTACAACCACACATGACCGATGTCCACGGGAAGGTACGACAGGAACGCATTTCTGGGC